CCTTCAACCTCCCCTTGAGAGTTTCCAAATAAGGCTAACCATGTGCGACACGCTCTTTGTCAGGTTCTCAAACATGGCGACGAACCAAGCGACTGTTAATCCTCCTGTCCCTGTTACTATTCTCAAATTGAGGGTTTAGGGTTGCATGTTGTTAACAGTACACGTTATGTTACAAGAATTAAGAAACAATTACATAATGGAACAATCGAAAGGCAATAATCAAAATTGAACCGAATTGTTAGGAATATGAATCGTTACTCCCCTAATCAATGTTGTGGTCAATTGACAGCTGTCAAAACAGGGTTTCCACTGACCAGTATCACCTTACCATACCGTGGGCTCAAGTGTCAACCCATCAAGGTCAAGTATTTTTCTGAAGTTATCCGCTGACTTTCCAGAGGGTACCCAACCAAGTTGAAAATTTACAGAAATTCCCGGGGCTGGGGGCTATGACAAGCACCCGTTACAGTGTATAATGGAAATTCCAGGGGGGGTAGAGGGGGGGGGTCCAAAGTAAACATGCCCTTCATGGGGGGTATGGATATTTTCTGGAAGTACAGAATAATAGATATGCTTCTTGCAAGGTTCCTAGTAGCTAATTTTTAATCTCTCAGGTAATTTTTATTTTTCCTTCTTGTTTCAACTTTATTAGCAAACATTGTCATACCCAAAAAGAAAAGGAAAACAAAAATTACCTGAGATAAAATATTAACTAAAGTCGACTCCCGATAATTCGAACCTTCAAGGGAAATAGAAAAAAGTTCGAGTTATCGGGAGTTCGAGTTATCGAGGGTAAAATTATATAGAAAATGATCTGAAGGGAAATGAAAATTGCTTCGAGTTAGCGAGCGGTTAGAGTTATAGAGGGTTTGAGTTACCGGGAGTCGACTGAACAACATATACATAAATACAAAAATTGGTCTAATTCACTGTCTATCATACAGAGAATGGTATTACATTATTTTGCATCATGCATTCTGCTCGGTATCAAGGCATCAACAGCAAAATGTGTTTTCAAGATAACATTATCTAGCAGCAGTATCTTGCAATGTTACCTACCAGTTCTGCTGATTAAGGCAAGCTTTTGATTCGGGTTTGCATTCAGGTGGCCTCTGAGGATTACAATGTGTGCTTCATGTTCAATTTGCCACGCACAGACATTTTTCTGGAAAATTAAATGTGTTTCATTATTATCAGACTATAACTTTTACTTAGTATCAAGCCCTAGAACTTCACAGTAAAAATCGTTTCTGGTACCCTGTCATAACCGTGATCTTAAAATTACAATGGAACTGAAAAATCAAAAAGTTTTCCAGTGACATTTCCAGACTAAGAAATCAAAATATGCAGATATAGTATTTTCCCACTCGCATTCTTAACTAAGAGAACAATTCTTAAGACTAAACTTCTGTAAGAAATTTCTAAAAACGCCTCAGGAAACCCACAATATTCCACAAAAAAAGTAAATATATGTCATTCACTGGCTGGGAGGTCTGTGTTGGGAGAAACTGTGTCCGAGGTCTTAAGTACTGGGTGGTACTCAGACCGAGGGCACAGTTTCTCCCAATATGGACCAGCCTAGGCCAGTGAATAACATTTTTATTTTTTCCTACCGAGATTTAAAAGTTTCAGGAAAATTTTCCTTCTATCTCCAACCTATGTGTGTTGAAGTAGGACACATTTGTGTTGATGAAGCGTGCGATTGACTGCAAACCAAAACGAAACATTACAACATGAATTTTGGCTTGGTAATTTATATTATGGCACCTACTGCTCTCTTTAAGAATAAAGAAAGGTTTCTGTGTCTTGCAAGACAATTCATAATCTGAGAGTCAAACAAGGATAAAAGAATTGACGAGCTTGATATTCAAAGCCCCAGGAAAAAAATAAAGCAAGCAATTTCTTCAGCTGAATAATTCAAAAATTGCTTTAAGATTAGTTCAATCAAGCAGGATGAAAAGTGCTAATTACCCATATCAATTTTAAGGTTTTGAATTGAATTCGAATAAAAGAAGGCAATGTGAACAACGAGTTATGAAAAAAGAAATGAAAACAGCGATAACCGACTCAGTGCTGGAAAAGTGATTTGTGTTATTTATTTAAGATTGAACAACCTTTTCCGATAAGTAGAAAACTAGTGAGATAAAATTCAATAAAAAAACGGCAGAATCAAGATTCCAACAGCAAAAATGGAACACAAAACTACAAACAGAGCAGAAACGTCCAATAAATGGTGCATAAAAGCAAGATTGCAGTACTTACAGCGCGGTTATAAAGCTGGTGAAGCGACATCACCAGTCACCTGTTTTGCTTTACTTTAGCCGTTTTCATGGTGGACTTGCTTGAGTCTCCCTTCAGACTTTTTGTCTGAATAATAAAATTCACTTTTCCCCAGCTAATGCTAATAATAGCGCAAGTTTTAAAATAAAAATGGTTTGAAAATGATGGTTTTTGCTCATTCACAAACAACAAACAAACTTGTGAATGAAGCTGCCAACAATTCCACCTGGGTTAGCGGGGAAGATCATAAAATACCGCCCACTCTCGGAACCAATTATATTGCAGGATTTGGAGGATTCCACCCAGTTGCAAGCTTGCAAAAAAATAAACTATTTCTACATAATTATTTTCAAAACTTAACAAAGAATGTAATCTTGCCAGGAAAGATATCTATTTTGTGTGATATATAATATCTATGCAAAACAGACCTGAAAATCGTTCGAAAATATAAAGCGACTAGGAATTTTCTTCAAATTTATTTTCTGACGCTGTCACATTATGCTAACGAGGTTAAACTAATTAGCATAATGAAATTCAACACCTCGTGGTTTGCTGTTAACCTTCAAAAGACGCTTTATTTTTTAGTTTTTCATCGAAATATCGGGTTAAAAACAGGCAAACATGAATTTGCTGATAGAATTCATCAAAATAACCGCTACTAACCTTGCAAAATAGATGAAAAACGAGAGAAAACCAACCATGCTTTCTGCACTGCCTTCCGCGCGCCATCTTTGATTTTGTTCTTTTTAGCTCCCAGGGTCCCAAATCGTCCACAAAGCTCGGCCTCCTTGTTGTTGCACCTGACGGGGCACCTGACACCTATTCGGCTAACTCAATGTTGTACCCAATTCAAACCCTTTGGGAATAAAACGTTTTGTTTCAGAAATTTCCATATCATTTAAATGTGAATGCCACATTATAATGCAAATACAATACACAAAGAATCTTAACCCCGGGAGATTTGAATTGGGCACAACACTGGGTTAGCCGAATAGGTCTATTTGAAGCTGTTTGAAACGGGTTTCAAACAGTTTCAAACGGGTTTCAACGCATTTCAAACATAAACACCCTTGAAACGCTTTGAGCTAAGCCCCCTTTTCCTACTATGAGGGGTCACAAATAGGTTTTGACACCTTAGACCCCCCGCCTGACTGAGACAAATTTTGGGCGTACCCATGTACCCAAGGGCTTTGTATGAGCAACATGCTTTTTCGACATGAAAATTATTCA